ACTTTATAGAACTTTCTATTTGAATATATAAATTTTAATTATTAAAACTGATTTAAAGATCGACAAAGAGAATTTGACTTTATCGTCAATCAAACTTAAAACCCGCAATTTGCAATCAATGTGGTACGGATAAGTAGTAAAATTTGTCTAAGCATAGTGTATAAAAGATTGTGCTAAAAACAAATAAGGATGGATGAACCAACCTCAAGAAACCAAAAGCTATCAGAGAGGGTTGACTTTTTCATGATAACCAATACCCTTTCACCATTTAAAGGAAACGCTGAGAAGCCCTTATTAGATGCCTTGGGGGTGGTTCCCATAACAGCTGGATTTACCCTGTAAACAGTACAAGATTTTGGTGCTCCATAAAGAATTAATTATGTTGTTCACAACCAATAAACCCGCACAGAAAGCTCACCATTTTCCAATGGAATTTTCATAAATCTGAACTTCAATTGTTGACACTGGTTCATGATCAGCTCCACCACTAAGAACATACTGATTAAAAAAAACATGGAGGGCAGAATGTATTTTTTACACTAGGCTTTGTTCCACGCAAGTAGTAAAGAAGAAAACAGATCATGTAAAAACATCAAATCAGCATGCTCTATTCATCATACTGTTTTGCTGCCGATATCAATGGCTACTTTGTTTTCGTTAGACTTTAAAGCAACTCCACTGTCACGATCTCCAACCCCATATTCTGCAACAAAAGCTGGAGCTTCCCCCTATAGGAAACAGAACAGATCAGATCAAGAACTAGTAGACATCTTCTTACTTCTGCTACACAACCTCGTGGGGGTTAGGGATTTCATTATGTAAGCTTACCATTGAGATTGAAGGTTCAACCTCTGAACTTGAAACCTCTAGAGTTCAATTCCACCTGATTCACCATAAGGAATGAGGTAGACATAAGAATTAACATCCTTGATTGAAAATCCCTCAGCTTTATGTAAATCTTCAAAACCAAAACACGCATTTATGAACGTGTGAGCTTAAATAATTAAAGCCATTGCATATTGCCTGGGGAATATCTGAATCATATCTACAAAAGGCGAACGTGATTCAACCCGAGGTCTAAAATCGTAGCATGATTCAAAAAGGATAAGGAATGCGTAAAAAACGAATCAGAAAGGCGAGAAAAATACAGAAATTAGAGATTCTCGGTGACCCCTTTTGGCAGAAGAATGGGGGATGGGGTTTAATGGAGTTTCTGCAATGAAGAAATAATTATATTTCAAATTGGCATTAAAGTTCACAAACGGATCTTCCAGATTTCAAAAAGCAGCAGACATAGGATTGAAAAAGCCAGCGGCTAAGGAAGAAGACGAAGTCGTGTGAAAGTTAACAAAGACTTGCCATATTTGTTGGGGAGAAAAGAGGAGTCCGCAGGGGGTTAGTTTCCTTGTCGCAGTCGGCTTTCCCTCTTTAAATTACGAGGGTTTTTAAACCAATCATATCACAATATCAAGCCACGCCCAATGTATTTGCTATTTTTATTTTTATTTCTTGAAACATGCACTTCCTGTTTGCTATTTAGTTCTTGAAAAGTTACAAATGATTAAAAACAGGCTTGCAGAATGAGTTTTTACCTAAAATATTGTTAAATAAATAAATATTTTTGTATTTCCTAAAATACTACAGAAATAATCACAATTAAAGAACCGCCACTTGAAGTGGCGGCTTATAGGCTTAGGAAAACTAACGCACGATACAAACCCGGGAGGAGGAGAAGTTGAGTCATGTGTCCACCACCATATAAAATATCATGATTTTTTAAAGCGGTATAACTTTTTTATTTGTATTCCGATTGTTGTAAAAATTATATCAAAATTTATAACTTTTTGATATTCAATATTGGTGTTATATGAAAGATAATAAAAGGTTATGAATTTTGATATATTTTTTGTAACAATCGGAGTACAAATAAAAAGGTTATACCACTTTAAAAAACATGATACTCCATATTTTATTTGGTAGTGGGACCCATGACTCAGCTTCTCCTCACTCCTGGCTTTGTACGTGACTACGCGCGTTAATTTTTTCTAAGCATATAAGCAACCACTTGAAGTGACGGTTCTTTAATTGCGGTTATCCCAACAGTATTTTGGGAAATACTTTTAATCTAACATTATTTTCGGAAATATTTATTTATTTAACAATAATTTGGGAAAATTCTCTTGCAGAATAGATAAATTAATAAATAAGGACATCAAATTTACCTTGAATAAAGGACGCCGCTGATACATGATCCTGGAAAATTTAGCGACTGACATGAAGGGAAATATCCATTACAACTAGGCTATCGAGTTGGATATCTTCGGATCCTTTAATCATGAAGAAGAAGGGAATACAAAACTATTTTATTAAAATTGTTCATTAGATTATTAACTTGCACGGCTGCACCGTCAGATAAGGTATGTTCGTACTTCTTAAGTAAACAAAATTGATGTTGAAGAGAAATTAATCTCAGCCGCCATCTAATTTCATGCCTGCACTAAACCACTGCGGTCATTTTATTTTAAGTATTTGACTTAAATAGGAGTAAACTAATTGGAAAGTTCCAAAATAGGAGTACTCTTCAAATAATTCCCTGAATAGGACTAAAATGCTTAGTCACCGTTTCCAATACCTAAACTACCCTTGGTTATACGCGCGCCTCAACGAATTTAATTCCCCTTAGCTGCGCCAACTTTTTCATCCTCTTCTGTTAGTTCGCAACTTCTTCAAGCTTCGATCGTCGTTCATCATGTACACCATATCACGCGTGATCCATCGTTTCGTTCCAATTTTGAGAATCCTCTATTGAATTTGAAGCTCTGCAGTAAGTTGATCTTAATTTCTTCTAACTTTCAATACTATGCTTCAATTCTCGATGAATTCAAGTCTGCATGCTTTCTGAATTGTTTTCGTTACTCTGCTTTCAATACGCTGCTTCCATATTTTCGTTATTTTGATTTAGCTACACTACTACAAAAATAAGTTTTGGAGTCACACAAAAATACCCCTAATGCATCGCCTTTGGTGCGATGCATAAAGTGCCGATGCATAAAGTAAAGGTACCTATTGCATCGCTTTTTTAGCGATGCAATAGTTAAACTTTATACATCGCTTATTCGGATGATGCGATTTATAAAGTTTTTTTTTTTAAATTAAAAAAATGGGCATAAGCATCGCTAGTTTAATGAGGCGACTCATAAAGTTTTGTATTTTTGAAATATAAGCATACACATAACAATCTCAAAATTCAATTATTCTTTTAGATTGTACGTAGTATATATATTACGTTTGAAACCATGAATGACCAACAATAGCTATGAAACAGACTGATTTAAAGTTGAACATAGCAAAGATGATCTCATTTTATTCTAAACGTAAAACATACAATCTCAAAATGTCAATGTAATCTGAAAGTATAACAATTTGAAACAAAAGACGCATAAAACTGAGCTGAACTGTTCCACACTCCATACAAATATAGATTGTATATCTAAAAAGTAATATAATCCAATCCAACTACACACAATGATTAATAAAATATTTAGCCCAAGTATCTCGAATCTCATTGATCTGCTCTTGAGTGTATGGATCTAGACAAAAGAGCTGCCAAATTCAAATTGAAGTTCCTATCAATGTTTAGAATAATGCAATAATATAAATATATAAATCATGTGATATAGATAAATACCTTTTGTATAGATCTTTTTTCTAGCAATCCAAGTGATATATCATACATAAATCTCATGACATAATAGCCACACTCATCTTTATGAGACTGTTGAGGACACTAAATAATAGCAAAAATCCAATTAGTACAAATAAAGACCATTTTATCAAATGAAAAAACATAAGACTTACTTTGACTTCAGTCCATCTTAGTGAGCTTTTAGATCCTTTGTTGATGTTTAGAGTCCTATAAGCCCTAAAAATTATAAAACACATACATGTAGTTATACACATGTAGATAGCATACAACCTTTCAAAAAAATGTAGATAGCATACAAGAATAACCACATAGATAATCATACTGGTAAAGTTATGGCAGGTTTTAAAAAAACAGGTGGTTCGAAATTGAAAACTGCAGTAAATATAATCAGAATTGGTGTTAGTTTGAGGGTTTGATTTGGTACTTTTACCCATATATAATTAAATCAAATAGTTAACATTAAGGAGTTTAAATTCTCTCTGCTACTCACAAATAAATGTGATCAAGGGAATAGAAGAGATAATTGTTCAAACTTTGAAAATCATCACCCAGTAGCTCACCAAAATTTGGAGTTAATTACTTCAAAAAAATGGACAAGCTCATGGAACACCCAAATTCGTCCCTTACAACACAGCCTCTTCCAAAATATATTAAAAATAGAGTCTCACTCCCTTTTTTACAAAAAAGGGAACAATAGAAAGAATAAATATTTAAACATTATCAGGAGGCATATATAGACCGCATAGTATTAACTTATGAGAAGAATGCATATGCAGAAACAGAACAATTTACAGTACTAACTCTCAGGTAATACAGTAACAGATTAAGAGAAGTCCAAGAAGAAAGAGAGAAACCTGATGAGTGCAGTCTGTGGGCAGAGAAAACTGAAAAGGGAAGACTCCAGTAATGATTTTATTGATAAAGAAGGAGAGATTGAGCTGGACTTTGAGAAGAACATGACACCACACTATTTAAATACTAGGGAGTACTACAAAGAAGAGTTGAACCGCAGGACACTTCATTCTTTCTTTTCAAAACATATCATATTAAATACCAATAAATTATGTTTTTCTAATAATTCATATGATACCAATAAAGTGATTGAAGTTGATATGCCGATTTTATAACCAAATGATACAGCCCCTCATCGGTCTATGCTTAAACAGACTCATGTAATTATATAGGTGTGTGTGTATGAAAAAGTAAATTCAAATGCAAGCAGATTGCAGCGCAAGCAGTTCCATCCTAAACAAGGTTAACTCAACTTATGGCAGATTATACAAAAATAAACTTACAGAGACAAATGTCCTTTGATTTCCAAATCTTCAAACTCGGGCCCCATTAACCCAACTCCTAATGAATTGAAGAGTAAAGCCTCGGCTCTTTCCATAATAATCACAACAAGCATCCAATGATGGCTGCAATGAAAATTTTAAATTATAGAATTAGAAAATATAGTTAAAAACAATAGGTGCATCTCAGTAACATCTAAATACATATTCAGCTTCAAGCAAATTAACATGTGTTGCAAGGGATGAGTATCTAAATTTAATAACAGTTATAGTGTTTTTCTCAATTGCCTTCACCAAAATTTAACTAATAAATAGGTTTCACCAATATTGTTTAGTAATTAATAAATATTAAAATTTAGCCATCTCTGATGTAAGTGGAATACGAAAAATGATAGCAGAATATTTAACAATTAATAAATTACTAAATTAAATCAATTAATGAGTAAACTTACCTTTGATGAAAGGGAGCAAATAAGAACTTCTTCATTCTGAGTTGGGAAATAGAATGATTCAAGTAACTCGCAAGATAAGAAGGTCTACTCTTAATCATGGCAAGCTTTGAAGGACATAGAAATCCAATCTCGTCTTGAATTTGATAATGTTTGGAATTAGAGTCCAAAAACCTAAGACAATTGCATATAAATTAGTACATAAAACATAAGTTTCAGTTAGAAAAATTTAGATATTATGTTTTACCTTATCCAAATGTGAACAATTGATGTGTGTAGCCATCCCATGTTAAAAAACTGCTCAATGTCATCACTAGTTACATAAGCTTTTGATTTTTGATTTCCAAAAGAGGGAAAAAGATATTCACCAAGATCAACATTAAAACAGAAGTCCTGGTTTTGAGATTGAAGCATGCCATAGAGTTTCTTGCAGCTTGGAGGTAATGTCCCAACAGTGGAAGCACGGATTTTGAAGTGTGAACTGTCCACATCTTGTTCCTCTTGGGAAAGGGGTTGAAAATTTAACCTACTATCAGTTGAACTTTTATCGGTTTGCATCCTCTTTTTCCGGTGTGAGTGGTTAACTTGCTATTCAGAAAGTAGGTTTGTGTTAATAAGCAAATAAGTTTCACATTTCATAAATGTAAGAAAATGAATCATAATATAACTCCTACACGATAACATAAATACAATATCTTAGAATGATGATGATATTAGGATTTTACCTCTTGTGATAATAGAACTTGTTTTATTGGCCATTGAGCCCAACTTCCTTCTACATCACCAAGTAAATCATGCCCGAAGAATGGCACTGGTAAGGGTGTATCCTCCTCTCCAACAAGTACATGCAAAATCTTTACTTTGAAATGGTCTTTGAGTAATGGAGTCCCATGAACAGGCTCCCCCGTTAGATGTTTACACAGTACTCCTTTTGCCACTACCCGATTACCAGGTACTTTTAGCTCACAGGGAAGTTCATCCTATACATATAGGGAAGTTCATTTTAGTTATTCATGACATATGAGTTACTTAAGAAAATAATGACAAATTTGCCATACCTTTGATGTGTTTACAAATGGATCGGGCTCAAAAGAGTGAACACTGCTACTATTTGGAAAAGGAGGGGTAAAGTCTCTCGTCTTAAACTCAACATCACACGGTGGAGTTATACCACAAGATTTCAGAATCTCATATGTTCTTTGCTCCCACTTTACTTCCAATTCAACTATAGTTTGGTCCCTCACTAGCTTGGCATATTCTTGCAGTTGTTTTAAAGGTACCATTATCTCATTTTGTCGACGCTTCTTTCTTTTAAAAAAAGATGTGAGATTGGCCTTCCCTGCAATTCCCCTAACACGGCCACCATGTTCAGAATTCCCAAGCGCCTCAGTCAAAATGTCATGACTTCCTACTGGAATAAACTCTCCAACCTTTTCTTTTTCCACCAAATCATGCTATTTGCAATTAAAAATCAAACATTATAAATTAACAAAATAAATCAACAATAAACATTATAAGTTCACATAGCCTCATCTAAATGAATAACTTTAAGCCCAAGATAAAAGTGATGAGTTGAAATGAACGGTTATACTTACTATTGTGTTTACCACCAACCGAGTCTTAGGATTCGGGATAAGTCCCTTCTTGTCAGTTCTTCCATCAATCCACTTTATATAACGAGGTCTAGTAGCCACTGTGGAAGTAGATGTCGCTGATTCAGCACCTGAAGAAGAGGGTGCTGACAAAAGAGCTTCCTTGATTTTGGCGCGCATGTATTCTTGGTCTGCGTGACCATATCCTCCCCGACCCATGCGATGAGGGTGCTCATTCTCTTGTTGGTTTGTTCGATTTTGTTCACTTAATTCCTACAAAAAATAGTAAGAGGTAAATGAAGTTATTAGGAAATCAAGGAGGGACATTATTTCATATTTTAAAAAATGAGCATGAGTATAGAGGTAAGTTAACGATGGAATAATGCTCCTGGACAACTATCAGAAATTAATGCAACAGAAGCATTCATCATGTTAATGCAGACCACATAACCTCATTTCAAAAGAGTCACAACAAAATAGTATCAATGAATATTGACTATCAGGATCAATAATCTCATATCAGTTTCTATTCTATCAGTTTAATAAATTTATCTTATAAACAAGATCTTCTAATCAAAGTCAGGATGTGGGGAGCCAATTTTATAAAAAAGAATTACCTTGAACTCATCACTTTCACGAATCTGTTTAAATTTTTCCCAATCATCTTCAGTGATTCCTGAGTATATATTCCATGGTGGATGCTCTACTTCATTCTTCTTTTGTGTTACGAAATAATCACGAGTTAATCTTGTCTTGAAACCTTTCCACCTATTTCTACAATTTGTCAACACCACGCTTTTCTTGTTATCGTCACACATGAACATTTTCTACAATTAAAAAAAAATCTGTTAGAGTTTTACATAATGCTAATATTCTTTAGAAAACTAACACATGATCAGTTACATACTTGTATAGCACTCCACACCAGTTCCTTTGTTTCCTTATCAACCTTAGGCCACTTATGAATGTAGATTTTAAAATATCCACGTGAAATTGATCCAACATAGGTCTTGTACCTATCCTCATGCTCTCCAATTGGGCGATCATATTCATCCCATTGAAGAAGATATGGTCCATTATCCTCTTTCATTATATACTTGGCTGTTGTTGGCCCTCTAGTCTTCCCACTTTGTTTTTTCTTCTCATGTTGAGCCTCAGAAGCCATTGCAAAACAAAATCTGGAAATGAGTTCATGTTGATTAAAATAATTTTGAAGTTGGAAATAATTTACTACGTAAGAAAGCCTCAGAAGTCATTGCTTTTGATTAAAATAATTTAAAATAGGGCATAGTCAACCTTGTGTGACTTCTGATGCTCGGTAGATTGAAGTTTGTATACCTATGCTTTCAACGAACAAATTAAACTTTATTAAAGCAACAAAAACAAAAGTAAAATGAAACTTCTAATTGAAAAAAATTATACAGCATATGAGCTTACAATCTTTATAAGTTGAGTTGCCACTGCTAGTCTTCCCCCTGCATGTCATGCATTACTGGAGTTATACACTACTGAGGTTTAACTAAAATTTATTAAGTTAAGACAGAAGTAGACTAAAGTCATTAAACATAATCTGTCAAAGAAGAAGAACATTAAAACAAGTTTTTCAGAATAAATAAAAGAACAAAGTTAGGTGGAGTTTATAAAATTAAGCCTAAAAATACACACTACAAAAACATTTACACACCAAGGAGCTCATGAATATTGAGTTTAAAATTCTTACATGCGTATTTAGATCTTCGGTGACTTACTACTAACCCATACACCTTCATCATGATCATTGCGCAAATAATGTCCACCCAAGTCATCTTCAATAAGTGGGGTATTTTGATGAACAGAAAGCATAGGAATCTCTTCAATCTCATCAAACTCTTCTTCATTTGGCACAAGATCCACAACTGCAACACCATGTCTTTTCCCTTGAATAACTATACTCCACCCTCTTTCTGATGGATCTGTTATGTAAAAGACTTGTTTTGATTGTGATGCCATTATGAATGGCTCATCAAGATGAGCAAGTTTATCAAAATTTACTAATGTGTACCCAAACTCATCACTTTTGACACCTCTCCTCATATCTGCCCACTTACATCGAAACACAGGGACTCTAAATCCAGTAAAATCAAGCTCAAATATGTCTTCAATAATGCCATAATATGCCCTTCTTGCATATTCTGGATTTTTATCTTTGGAACTCGAAAAATGTAGTGCGGATGCTACTAAACTCACACCACTATTTTGCATGGTGCTAGAATCATCCTTTCGTCTAGTGTAGAAACAATACCCATTTATATCGTAACCCTCATACGATATGACATTGAGTGATGGACCAAATGCTAACCACCTAAGGACTTCATTGACATCATTCGACGTTTGAGTCATCTCAAGATTCAATGTTTCTTTGAACCAGTTTATAAATGATCGATTGTGCTTATCTCTAAGCCTTTTTTCACTTATTCCTGGATTTTCAAGCCGCAAAATGTCCATGTGTATTTTCAAGTAAGGACTCACTACAACACTCTGTTGTAATATGTATAAGTAAGCCTGATCAAGGATTTCACGGCTAACTGTGTGTATCTTACAGATACCCAGAAAATGATCATGACTTGGATAGAGTATGTTTCAGTGACATATATTGATTTTGTTACATCTGCAGAAGATTTTTTTGCAAATATGGAATATATATATCAAGGAATAAATTCAAAGAGAATGGTACCAAATTAGAGTTTCGAGTGCAGCTATATGAAATATTTCTGTTGAAGAATATAGGTGGGGAGCATCCATCTTTCATGGCCATGAGCCCATGACAGACACTTCCAACCAACCTACTTTACCAAAAACACTACGGAGTATATACTAAGTCATTTCCACCTTTTGTGGGCATCTGTACATATTAGGAAGTTTTGTTACAACACCAGATAAGGAAAAAGATAAAGGGACACATCCTCCCCCCCCCCCCCCCCCCAAACCAAACTGAGTGTACAATTTAGTTAATTGAGATGAAACAGCTTACATATTAAGGGAAATAAGGAACAGTTAATAAATTGCTTTTACAGTTAAATAGATTAAGGAGCAGTTTACATACTGTAGCAATTTCATTCTCTTAGAGTCAGGCAATTTCGTTCTCAATTGCTAAATCGATTAAGGAACAGTTTACATACAGTAGCAATTTCCTTCTCCTTGAGTGAAGATATAACACTTTTATTCAATTTCAGACATACAACTTATCAAACGAAAATATATAGACAAAACTTCAAATAAAAATCTAAAATAATCTAAAAGCAGATACAGAAATCCAAAACTAAAAACCAATTTAGGTCAAAGAGAGAATCAACATAGAGGAATCGAAAGACATAAACGCAAATAGAATGTAAACATACCTGATCTGCTAATCGGATTGAAGGTTTGGGAATGTGAACGGTGGAAATCGCAGACAACAGAGGACGGTGGAAGTCGCGAAGCCGGAACGGTGTCGGACGATGGAAGTAGTAAAGCTTCAGAGAAGAATGTTTTCAGGTTGCTGTATTTACAAACGGTGGGGGGAATAATCTAATAACACCTGAGATCCGAAACTTGTTTATGGGAAAAGTTCAATGCTACTGATAGCATTAAGGTTGAAATTGAATTAAGTTTGTTAACGTAAGGTTGGATTGTTTAATTTAATTGAAATTGATATTCTGTACCTTTATGCATCAACTTTTTTTTAAATAAAACGATGCAACATGTATTTAAAATTCTCGTAAAAGTATTTGCATCGCATTTTTAGTTTAAGCGATACATAAAATAAATTTAAACATCGCTTAATTAATTTGAAGCGATTCGTAAACTTTAAGCATCGCTTGAAATACAAAAGCGATACGTAAGGGGCGATTTACTAAGGTCATATTGTAGTAGTGGTAGCTATTTCAGAACACAAACTCGTAATTCAATTGTTGTTTGACTCTATCCTTGATCTCATCTATGTTTCTACTTAATCGATACTTTGTTTATAGTTTTGTACTATTGTGAAATTGTTTTGCGTATTTAGGTTGCTGTTGTATAGGTATTTAAGTTTACATATTGATTACGTTGCTTTTCAGTATGTTCTTCATCATTTATGTGTTGTACTATTCTAGTTTCTATGAACTTGCTTGAACAATTTAGTTATTATTGTTAATTGATTATAGTCATCTCTGCAATTTATCTCCAGTTACTTATATTCCTATATTTATGGACTCTGCTTCAACAAATATTTCTTTATTCCATTCTACTCATCATGATTTAGTGTTTGAATTTGTAGTGACAGTTTCACTATTATTTGACATGTATCCTGTTAGTAACTGATATGCACTAATTAGTAGTGCATAAGTGTATGTTTTTATGTTTGATTTGTGTGGATTGTTTACCGTTTTATTTAGTTTGTAAACATTTGTGTGCTTTTAGTTGTAATTGTATTTTAATCTTCATTTGTAAGTTGTAAAGTAGAGTTAGGAATTAGGGTGTTGAAAAGGAGGACTTTGAAGTGAAGAAAAAGGTGATAAGTGTGCCCAGGAGCACAAACCCGGTCGGGTCAGACCATGCACCCGGTCGGGTCTGATGAAAAATCCGAAACTGCCTGGAAAATCATCAGACCCGGTCGGGTCCCCTACTTGACCCGGTCGGGTCAGACTTGACCCGGGACACCAGAACGTGCCGAAGATCGCCAGAACGTGGAGGATATCTGATTTTGACCGGACCCGGTCGGGTAAGCACCTAACCCGGTCGGGTACCCGGCCCAAGGTGTTGAAAAACACCTATAAATAGCCCCATTTTCCTTCACAAAGGAGAATCCCTTCTTCCATACTCTTAAGCTCAACTTAGAATAGTATTTCTTTTATATTTTTTTTAGCATGTTTAGTCTCCAAATGAGGAGCTAAACTTCCATTTCTTGGTGTTGCTCTTGAAGCTTGTTGATTATTAAAGTTGTGAGTTATTTTCTTAACTTCTTCCCTTGAATATTAATTATTCTCTTAATCTATCTATATATTAATGTTGGGGAGTGTTGCTAAGATGACAATTAGTTAACATCTCGACATTAATTATGGTAGTATTTATTTTCTTCCTCTATATATTAATGTTGGGGAGTGTTGCTAAGATGACAATTATATGACATCTTGACATTAGTTATAGTAGGATTATTCATATTTAATCTTCTTCCTTGAATATTAATTCTTCCCTTAATCTATCTCTATATTAATGTTGGGGAGTGTTGCTAAGATGACAATTAGTTAACATCTCGACATTAATTACTACTAGAAACGATCAACGAACCGATGGTTAATCGTTGATTGCTTCACAAGTAAGTAACTTCGGTTTATTAATGCACGGTCGTGGTTAATAAACTTAAGAGGGATTAATTTTGTTGGTTAAACCGAAACCGTTGTGTTGAGGTTATCAATCTCAATTGATTTCATCAAGGAGTTAAGAGATTAAATGCTACTATTAAGTCGGTATATGGCGGTGTTCTATACTTGACTAATAGTAAGGGTTATTAATGAACGGTCGTTGTTAATAGCTACCCTCGATGAATTGGATATACTCCTCGATTGAGTATTCGAGAGGGAATAAGTTATAGATATAACAATGATCGACTAAAATATATCAACAAGTGGAAAGTAGCAATGCCAAGTCCTTTTTATCTTTAAATTAAGTTGTTCATCTTTATGTTTAATTAAGTTAAATCATTCAATCCCAAAACCCCCCTTTTTATTTACTAGTTTTATAAAAAGAGAATTATTCCTTTCCCTGTGGATACGAACTCTACTACGCTATACTACGTATAAGTGTAGTATTGAATTTATTTTGAGTGCACTCACGACAAAGTGTACGTCAAATTTGGCGCCGTTGCCGGGGAAAGGCAATTATTTTTCTTTTTATTTTATCTCAAAAAAAAAAAAAAAAAA